GCAGCGCGGGTTCAATCCCAGCCAGCCACGGTGGAGAAACCCACATGGCGCGGCAGACTTCTCCTGTCTCGCCAGCTGCTTCCCTGAGCGGGGCATTTCGTCAGTCTGCCTGTTCTGTTCCCCGCTCTGTCTCTGGTGAATCCTCTCACCATCCCATGCATCTGGCCTGTACCTCTGTTCTTGTATAAATAAATCTTCAAAAAAAAAAAATGTTTCTAGCACCTAGAAGGTTCCCCTCATGCTCTTCCCTAACCTTGAGTCCATTTCCTTGGTTGATTATTATATCTGACAGATTCAGTCACGTTAATGAATGTAGCAGTAGTTTCTTTGTTTTTATTTCTAAACATACTCATATTTTTAAAGTAGAATTGTAATTTTATTTTTTTTTTTTTTTTTTTTTTTTTTTTTTTTAATAGAGGCATGTTATTTATTTATTTGTTTGTTTGTTTGCTTTGTTTATACATGCACTGGGTACAGTCAGAAGCGCGGGAGGGTGAGTTCACCAGAGCCAGAGCGGGGAGCAGAGCAGGCAGAAGGACCGAAGTACACTGCTGAGGGGAGGAGCGGGTGGCAGGAGAGGTCTGCGCGCCATGTGGGACCCTCCTCCGGTGGCCGGGGAGCAGCTGGGGATTGAACCGGTGCCGCTGAGGCTGCGGGCAGCTTCGCAACCCAGCGCTCAACCGCTGCGCCACCGGGGAGGCCCTAAAGTAGAATTGTAATTTTAAAACATGTTTTAGATTTATGGAAAATTGGGAAGATAGTACAAACACTGGGAATGTAATACACACCCAGCTTTTCCTGTTATTAACATCATACAGTAGTTGGTACATTTGTTACAATGAACCAAATCAATACATGAAAGTCTCTACTTCAGCTAAGGTACAACTGTCTATGTGGGCAAGGTGGTTATCACAGCCTAAAGCTGGACAAAGACGTAAAAAATTCTTGAACGTAGAAGCCAAATCTCGACAAGTAGGAAAAGAGAAAGGCAAATACAAGGAAGAACTTGTTGAGAAAATGCAGGAATGAGGATAACCTGTTGTGCAACCACAGTCTCCATGGGGATTTAGCCTAGTGTGCGTCCTTTGTCCCATTTCAAGATGTCTCTGAAACAATTTGTTTCCCTCCTGTTTTGTTACTGCCATGTAGCTCTGTAGATCTATTTTTGCTGTTTTGAGATTCATTCAGATTCAGTTTTTTCCTCATGTCCTTTTTCTGTTACAAGACTCCACCCACCATACATTACAATTGTGTTGCCAATTCTCCTGCCATTCTTCTTGGGGATGATAGTTTCTGATTTTCCTTGTTTTTCAAGATGTTGACAATTTTTTTAAAAAGATTTATTTATTTTTGCCTACAAGAGCTGGGGTGTAGACTAGAGGTGCGGGGATGAGAGGATTCACCAGAGACAGAATGGGGAGCAGAACAGGTGGATCTACTGAAATTACACTGCTGAGGGGAGCAGTAGGCAAGACAGGAGAGGTCTGCTGCGCCATGTGGGTCAGCTCCCTGGCTGCAGATTGAGCTCTCGCTGCAGTGGCCACTGATAGTCTCATAGTGCTGAGACCCAACCCCTTGCGCCACCAGGGAGGCCCCAAGATGTTGACAGTTTTAAGGAGTATTGTTCCAGAATTCTGTAGCATGTTCTTTAGGATTTGTCTGATGTTTTTCTCATGATGAGACTGGGTTGATGGGCTTTGGGGATGAAGGTCACATAGTCTAGTCATGACAAAGGTACATAATACCCATATGACTTATCAAGATATGTTGACCCTGATCACCTACCACGATAGTTTTTCAGGTTTTTTCACTGCAAGGTTATTCCCTCCCCCTTTCCATACTGTCATCTTTGCAAGGAAGTCACTATTTACAGCCCAGACTTACAGGATGGGGGCTTAGGCTACACCTTCTTGAGTTTATTTGGAATTCTGCATGGGAGAATTATTTATTTATTCATTCACTCATTTATTTATATCAGTATAGTCTCATGGATATTTATTTTTATTTCATTAGATTATAACATTATTTTGTCACTCAAATTGTTCTACTTGAGCCACTAGGAGCCTTCAGCTGGCTGTCTCTTTGACATCATCATCATCATCACCATCGGTAGGTTTTATTTTCAGTTGGTTTCAGCCCTTCTTTAAGAAATTTCGGGCACTGGGCCTGCCTGGTGGCGCAGCGGGTTGAGCGCTGTACTGTGAATCTGTCCGCAGCCTCTGCAGTGTGGGTTTGATTCCCAGCCAGCCAGGGAGAAACCCATATGGCGCAGCAGACCTTTCCTGCCTTGCCCGCTGCTCCCCTCAGCAGTGTCTTTGGTCCGTCTGCCTGTTCTGCTCCTTGCTCTGTCTCTGGTGAATCCTCTCACCCTCCTGCGCCTCTGACCCATACCCCAGTTTCTTGTATAAACAAATCTTTTTTTTTTTTAAAAGATTTATTTACTTATTTATTTATACAAGAACTAGGGTACAGGACAGAGGCGCAGGAGAGTGAGAGGATTCACCAGAGACAGAGCAGGGAACAGAACAGGCAGACTGATGAAACACACTGCTGAGGGGAGCAGCGGGCACAACAGGAGAGGTCTGCGGGGCCATGTGGGACCCTCACGTGCCAGTCGGAATTGAACTGGTGCTTCAGAGGCTGCAGACAGCTTCACGGCGCTGCGCTCAACCACCTGCGCCACCAGGGGAAGCCTGTATAAATAAATCTTAAAAAAAAAAAAAAAAAGAAATTTTGGGCACTATAAATTGTTCCAAGTTCATCTTCTTCCCCCAGGCCTAGAACCAGCCATCTCTCCAAGGAGCCTGCTCCTTTTACTGGAGAAAGGCAGACCTGATGCTAAGTTGCACTTGTTGCTACTGGGGTACACACACATATATTAACAAAACTTCTTTATTGTGGTAAAAGATACACAACATAAAATGCACTATGGTAACTATTTGTTAAGTGTGCAGTGCAGTGGTTGGGGGGAAATGATGTCCCAAAGGAACTCCACAAGCACAGGTTTTATAGACTCCACCCCCACTCCAGACCAAAGAGATGCAAGACACCAAGAACTACAAATCCCACAATGTCATCACCACTGAAGGGAGGACTGCTGGGAACTGACGGTGGTAACACGGTGGCCCTAAGTATATTCACAATGTTGTTGTCACCACCACCAGCCATCTCAGGAACTGCACCATCCTCCCAAACTGAACCTCATATTCATTCAACAGGGACTCGTCTCCCTCCCCATCACCCCAAGCCATTGGGAAGCATCATTCTACCTCCTGTCTATGGATCTGACTATTCTAGGTCCCTCACAGTCTAGGAATCATACAATATTTGTCCTTTTGTATCTGACCTGTTTCATTTAAAGGTACAACGTCCTCTAGGTCCGTCCATGTTGTTCAATGGTCAGAATTTCCTTCCCTAGGACCGACTAGTATTCACTCGTATGTACATACCACACACACATTTTTTGAAACATAAAATTTAAACTACAGGTATTGCTTATTTTTACTCCATAGTTTCGGTAATATACTTTAAGACCTTGTACTATAAAGAAAGGGATAGGTATTTAAAACCTACCTTCCCCCTACCACTATCAATGAGGGCTAGATAACGGAAACACATCCTCAGTCATTAGAGGCAACCTTACCTTCTAAGAATTAAAATCTGAGATCAGTTGTCTGCAGAAATCACGTGTAAGAATTCTAAAAGAGGTAGCTGAAGACTAGCGCAAGACACCCATCATCAGACCACGAAAGCACAACTGTACCCACGAAGTTCACGTCGTCACTGCACCCCGACCTATCAGAATAAGAAAACGTGATCAGAGCGCGGGCACCGAGCCAAGCTCGCAACGATTCGTGCCCTCCCGCCCACGCTCGGGTTTCAAGTCTGGGCTTGTTCCCGGGGCCCCCCAAGGTGGGGTGCCTTAGTAGGCGTTTACAGGGCCATTTGGGGACGTGCAAAAAACGCAAACTTCCAGCGACTCGGAGTTCAGACACCCCCGAACGGCACTTTCGCACTCCTCCTCCACGTCCCGGGGCCTGCGCCAGCGCGGCGCGGCTGGCGTGGAAAGCAGGCCTGCTACACGCCGGGGCCAGGCGCCCCAGAGGGGACGTACAGCTGCGCGAGCACCGACGCGCGCTTCCCGGGGAGCCCTGACGCCGGGCGCGCCCTCCCGCTCCTCAGACGACGCGCGCGGCGGGCGCCGGGAGCCCGCGCCGGGGCAACCCCCGCGGCCGCCGCCAGCCGCACATTCGACAGCCGCCGCAGCGGCCGTTCCATGGAGCCGCTGGTCTTCGCCGGGAAATTAGACGAGCAGAAACCTCACTCTCCGGGGAGGCGGACTCAAAACATAGCGATTTTTAAATTTCTTAAGGTAAAAAGAAAGGCGGCCAGAGCGCCGTGACGAATCTGCCGCCTCCAACGCCAAGGGCGGGCGCGGCGGCGCGAGCGCTCTCCTGACGCAGGGCCCCGGCGCCGGCGTCCGCGGGGAAGGCGGCGGCGCGCCCGGCTGAGGTGAGGGGCGTCCCCGCGGGCGCTGGCCCCACCGGCGGGAGGGCTCGGGGGCGCGGCCGGACGGTGTGTCCGCGCCTGCGGGCCGCCATGTTGAAACCCGGCGAAGGGGAGACTTCTGGGTTGTGGGGGGCGGGGGCCGCGCCCGCGCCCGCGCCCTGAGGAAGCGCCTCTCCGCGCCGGGGGCTCCGCGCCGGGGGCGCCCCGCCGGGCAGGGCCGGGGGCGCGGCGGTGGGCTCGGGGCCAGAGTTGCTGTTTAATGGTGACGCTAAGAAGCGGGTGGTCTTGTCCGCTTCTCTGTCCTCAGTGAAGCGATCTCTCACACACACACACACCCCCGCCCGCGCTCCACTGCTTTTTGGGGGGGTCAGGTTTGGAACAAAAAAAGTTCAGAGTTTTGCCTGGGCTGGTCGAGTTCCCCCGCGTTCGCCAGGAAGCGTCTTAGGCGCTGGAGATGGGGCGAGCAGACAGACTGAGGTGCGGATGTTGCGTGTTGGGAAAAGTGGGGCACAGTGGAGCCGCGGGGGGTGACCTGCACCCGGGAGAGAACCCGGAGGGGCGAGAAAAATTTGCGCGGGAGGACGTGGAAGAGAATATCCCCAGCAGGGAAGCTCCCCAGAGGAGTCAGGGAGGACGGATCCACCCCGGCGCGGAGGGTTCTGTGATGGGATCTGGGGAGAGGCCGAGGGCTGCGTGCTGCTCCATGGACTTTGGCATGTTGGCTGGGAAAACAAGCTCCACAGTGCACCCCATAAGCCGTCACTCCCCCTACATAACCCATCAGCGGAAGAACAAAAGCAAAAAGATCCTTGCGGAAGATGGGAATCAGAGGAGAACGTTCTAGATAGCGTGTTAGCAGACATCTACATCATACACATGCCACAGAGCCCTCGCACGACAATCCCAGAGGTGGTCACACAAGCATTCATAGCCTCAAAAATGCTGGGGAGCCCCGAATTTATTATCCTAGCAGGTTGGGGTGAAGTAATGATCACGTGTCAGACTCTTCCAACTTCCTTACCCTCCAAAAAAGTCAGTCTGCGTCAGATTGAAGGATAGTGGCTGTGTGCTTGCAGGGCTCAGCTCACCATCATGATCCATTCTATGCTCTGAGGCATAGAGGGTTCATCAACCAGGGACTGAGGAGAAACCCCACATCCCCTGGGAAGCAGAGCGCCTGCTCCTGGGCTCACTGTGATGCCAGCTTGGCGCCTGACTACTGACAGGCCCAGTGCTGCCACCAGCCCCATCTTCCCTGCTAGTTCTGTTTTAAAGTCCTGCCCTTTCAGGGCTGCATCCTGAAGTATTTATAGATGAGTGATGTAATATCTAGAATGTGCTTCAAAAACAGTTCAAGTGTCAGGATGTGAGTGGGGGCAGAGATGAAACAGACTGGCCACTTGGGGCTCCTGGGGGAGCCAGAGGAGGAGCTGGTGGAGAGTCACTGTGTCCCTGTGTCTCAGTGCGTGTGACGTGTGTCCCTTCTTCTACATGAAGTTTGTGGTTTTAGAAAGCGCCGTTCTCCACAGCACTTCCATGCCGCCTTTGCTGTAATCACTTAAGTCTCTGAACACGAGCCTGGCTCATGATCCACATTGCCATGTTCTGAGTGAGTGGACAAGCGTCTTCCCGTGGCTAAACAGGATGGGACATGTATGGAGCCTCTTGAGAGGGAGGAAAGAGCGTCCCTGGAGCCCACGCCCTGGCTTTTATCCCATCTCCCCAGTTTCTAGCTGGGAGCCCTTAGCCTCTGGGAGTTCCTTCCCTCCTCAGAGAAGGGGTGGCCCATCGCTTCTGCTTCCTGGGCTGGTTGTAGGACTAAGTGTTAAATGCGCAGGCCCCGCAGGCCCCGCAGGCGCTACTCCTAAACGCTTCTGTTACTCCCTTAGACCATGAACGACTGGATGCCCATTGCCAAGGAATATGACCCGCTTAAAGCTGGCAGCATCGATGGCACCGATGAAGACCCGCACGATCGAGCAGTCTGGAGGGCTATGCTGGCAAGATACGCCCCCAACAAAGGGGTCACGGGGGACCCCCTCCTAACCCTGTTTGTGGCCAGACTAAACTTGCAGACCAAGGAGGAGAAGCTGAAGGAGGTGTTCTCCCGCTATGGGGACATCCGGCGGCTGCGCCTGGTGAGGGACTTGGTGACGGGCTTTTCGAAGGGCTACGCCTTCATCGAGTACAAAGAGGAGCGTTCTCTGCTGCGCGCCTACCGCGACGCCGACGGCCTGGTCATCGACCAGCACGAGATATTCGTGGACTACGAGTTGGAAAGGACTCTCAAAGGGTGGATCCCCCGGCGACTTGGAGGAGGTCTGGGGGGGAAGAAGGAATCAGGGCAGCTGAGATTTGGGGGGCGGGATCGGCCTTTTCGAAAACCCATTAATTTGCCAGTTGTTAAAAATGACCAGTATAGAGAGGGGAGGCGGGAACGGAGGGAGCGGTCTCGATCCCGGGAGAGACACTGGGACTCGAGGGCGCGGGATCGAGACCATGACAGGGGCAGAGAGAAGAGATGGCAGGAGCGAGAGCCCGCCAGGGCGTGGCCTGAAAATGACTGGGAGAAAGAGAGGGACTTCAGAGATGACAGGGTCAAGGGGAGGGAGAAGAGGGACAGAAGTAAGTAGCGCTCAGCAGCAGCACCGGCCGGAGGAGACGGCACAAGTAAAGGCCTTGCTGCTCTGATCGCTTGGATACGAAGGACGAGTCCCTGCTCGAGCGCAGCTTCCTGACGCTGCCGGGGTTTGCAGTAAGTTTCCTCTCCAGTCTGTGACCCAGATTCAGGCTGAACATGCTGACACTGTGAGTTAGTCCTCTTCAAGGTCACATTCTTTAATAAGCTTGAGAAACAGACTCGTCTCACCAGCATCTGAGTAGAAAGGCACGTGTTTCGTCTCTTCCCTCTGGTTTGCTGGCGACGGGATGTTCAGTCTGCACTGCTGGGGGCTCTGAATAGATACCACTGCAGTCACATTGTTCAAAAGTGACTTCTTGCATTTTTGTTCTGTCAAGGGCTGTGTCTTTGAAAGTGCAGGTTCTTAAAATTCAAACTGTTTCATACAAAATAAATAGCTGATTTTGTCTGGAGACTCACACCTTCATAGGCGGGTTTTGCACAGGAGTATCACTCACCGGTGCACAGGGCACCTGCCCTATCTTAAAACTGCTGTCAGCTGCTAGACGTGTTCTAGAAAAATACACTCTGGATTTCTGGTGCAGAAGTTTGCTGTCACCCAAGTCTCAGAAATCAGCGTTGCAGGAACACATTCTGCTGTCACCCACATTTCAGGACAAAGTGCTCCCAAAGTGTGTCCTGGGCCAGAGTAGGCAGGTGCTTCAGCTGAACAAGAGTGCTCCACAGTAGAGAGGCTCCCTGGTGGTTACCAATCCGAGGATCAGAACAGGAGTGGGTTTTAAAAATCTGCTCGCTCAAACCCTACCCTGGGCCCAGGGCAAAGTCTGGTGTGGGACCTGGTAGCCATAAAAGAGAAAGAAATGGGTAGCCTCACCACAGCAGGGGCTTTAGCAGTAACCTTCAGAGTGATGTGCCCTCTGACCTAGCTTCTGGGTTATTTTACAGACCGCCACGCTGTGGGACAATAAAGGCTAGGAGGTGGGGTCCCCATTGTCAGTGGGGCCTGCGTGCAACTGGCTCTCCAGTAGACGGCTTCCTCACCTCCCCTTGTGATACCTGCAGCTGGGTCATTCTTTGTGGGGCTGCACTGGGCCTGGCAGGGTGCGGAGCAGCACCCCTGGCGCCTACCCACTGTGTGCAGCAGCACCCTCCCTGCCTGTTGTGACAACCCAAACCCTAAACTGCCCAGTGACCCCGGTGGGGGAAGGGGCAAATCACCAGGGTGGAGACCCACTGTCTCTACTAATATGGCACATTCTCCAGGATACGTGATGAAGAAAAGCACAGAAGAGCATGTATTTAGGGGAAGAGAATGCAAGTAAACGTATTTCTTAACATAATTGCTTATATTTTTATGAACTATTTTAGGAAAGCTACTCAAAGTGGTCATACTAGTTGCCCTGGGAAGGGCAACTGAAGGTTGTGGTGGTGGTGGGATGGGGGTTCCTCAGTACAAATGCTTTTCTACTTTTTGAGAATAATAATTCTAGTGGCAGTCAGGTGCAGGAACCTCTGCTCTAAGCCAGCATCATCACATTCAGCCCACTGGAAACAGTCCATGTGTGTTCTGTAAACCCACCCCATGGCTTCTCAGCAAACACTGTAGAATGCCACCTGTCCGGTGTCTGTGGGTGCTGTTGTTAGGAAGTGCTTGCTACCTCACCAGCCTTGAGCCCTGGGTGCCCTGTGGGTGGAGAAAAGGTATTATTTGGGTAACCCCCCCCCCACTCGCCAGGTGTGCCCAGGGCACCTGGCCCCTGCCACCACAGCCCCGCAGTCAGCCAGGTGTAGGGTCCCCAAGTCATTATTTCACCCCTCTCTGGCGCATGTCCATCCCCACCCACCATCCCACATCCCCTTGGGGGGCACCCATTCCCAATCTGTTTTAGGGTATTTGTAATCTTCTTGGCAGGGGGCTACCTATTGGTACAGTGAATGCTAGAAGGAAAAAGGATGCCAAGAAAAAAGTCCACAAGAGAAACAGAGCAACAATGTCTCATCCTTAGCAACTTTGTTTGGTTAGTACTGCGCAACTCACAGCAGATTGCAAGGCACTGGCCTTGAACATTGGACATGCTCTAGGCATTAATGGTAACGAGGTGCGGTCCACAATGGGGGGCTCTTGAACAGCTGTCTTTAGTTTGTGGGTGGAAATGCTGTTGTCCGTGTTTCCTTTTGCCATCTGTCTGTCTGAGCTAGTCCAGCAGGTCCTGTGTCTTGGCAGACCCTACTTGTCTAACCTAATCCATCCACCCCCTAGGGACACAACTCATGCAAAGTTGGCCCTGCTTGCGCTTGTGACCAGCACCATCATAAAAGCTCTACGCGGAGAAGTTCACACGAAGCAAATCAAACAGCAGTTGCAGTGGCAAGTGATGTATTTGGCTTAAAGAAGTTACTGTGTCACTCAGGTTAATGCAAAAGTCCTGCCTCAGTCCATGGTCTATTAAACATATATCCTAAGGGATTGGCATTGTCTATTATAAACGGGGGAGCCCTGGGTATAAATAAACATTTCTTTCGCGTTTGGCATCCGTTTTTCAATGTGCTTCCTCAAAGCAGACAGTTTGTTTGAGGGATCAGTTTTGAGGGTGCATCTGCACCGAGCAGTGTCCACGGTGGTGGCACCTGGGGGGCCAGGTGCTCGGCGGACGGTCCAGGCTGGGGGCGGCGGTGGGCCCGGTCACAGGTGCTGCAGTGCTTCCTGTCCTTGCTCCGTGTAGCCGTCGTCGCGGTGGGAGTTTGCCCACTGGCCGAAGGTCTCCTGGATGTGCACGTTTCTCTGCGTGTTGGCCAGGCGCTTCTTGTCTCGGGAGAAGAAGCTAAAGCTTTTGGGAGAGAAAGAAAGATATGAGCGCCCGTCCTTGGCTGAGCACGACCCGCTTTTGCGATGCTGGGACACACAGCGGCAAGTGGGGAAGGGCGCACATCAGGTGTTAAAAAAATTGGGGGTGCAGGTCAAAGTTATTCTGGAAAGCAGCAGGGGGCTCTGCAGGTCACTGGCACGGTGCCCGGGAGGTGACAGTGTGAAGAGGGTGTGAATGAGGGTGGAAGGTAATGTGTCGCCCACCTGAACCCTGCGGGATTTCTCCTCATGACCCTCCAGAAACATCGACAAGGGCCACGGGTTTCTTTCCCCCGGTGATGCAGAGGAAGTCATACTTGAAAGCCAGATAGGACGTCAGATGATAGTGATGTAAGCAGCTGGGGGCTGTTATGAGCCGTTTAATGTGAATCGGGACCCTACATGAGCAGCCCATCAAAGCCCAGGCTGTGTGGCTCTTACCGCTTACGATGTGGCAAATGTAGGGAGTCAGCGGTAAGAAAATGTGACAGCTCAAAAACGCATCAAGCGTGGTACGCATGGCTGCCTGGGGGATCAACGTGAGTATAGCACATGGGCAACTTCTGACAGGTGTGTCAAAGCCTGATGAGAGCCGTTACATGCGGCCACAGCCATGAGCTACACGGCCTGCGCGGACAGCCATGACCACAGCCTTGAGCCCTCGGCGGACCGCCCGCTGCCTGGAAAGCAAAGGTAGAAATCACCCTCGAGTAGCCACGCGGCCCATGAAAGCAGGTCCCCTTCAGCGCCACTAAGCAGACGAGGACCGTGGCCGGGAAGCTCGAGCTGGCCCGCCACGAGTGTTTGCCCGGAACCACGAGTGTCTGCTGAGCTGCACCCGCCCTCGTGTGCGCCCAGCCTCTAGGAAAGATCCCTTCTCTCCTCACCAAGTTCTCCACTCTCAGATCTCGGTTTCGGCGCTTGGGGCGAGATACAGTAGCTGTGTTACACTTCCCGGAATCAAGTCATTGAGCTCCGAGCTCCCATGTGTGCGTGTGCATGTGCATGTGCGTGTGCGTGTGCGTGTGCGTGTGCGGGCTCAGATCGCCTATAGGGTTCAGATTTAATCACAACTGGGTGAAAATGATTTTACGATTCGGCGGTCACTGGCTCTCACGGACACTCACTGCAGGGAAGAAAGGGCTCTTTCAGCCACACGCGGGGGCGAGTCAGTGTGTCTGGTGGGCTCCTCCCTGCCCGCTGAGGTCTCTGCTCGACAGCAGGTGTGTGCGCGGGACAGGGGAGGCGCGATTCTCGCGCTGGGCTGCTTGTGATCGCTCTCGTAGTGTGGTCAGGGAATGAGCTGGCCGGAAACACAGCAGCAGCAACGTCCGATGACACCTCACCTCCCCCTGACAAGAAAGCAGCAGAGCACGTGGCACTGCCTGGCCCAGGGTCACAGACAGAACCAGACGTGGGCCCTTCCCTCTGCTTTTCCTTCTCTCTACAAGGCCAGCGGGCTCACTGGCCATGCCTGGGCAAAACAAAGCCATTTAGAAAGCTGGGGCGTGAGGATCAAAAACAGTGTTAGTGTCACTCTGGGGCGGGGGTGTCACAGCAGGCGGCGATTACTGACCCGTCACTTAAGGGACCGTCTTTACTGGATCATGGACAAGGTGGTTTTAGAATGGAAACAGAAAAGACAAAAAGAATTATTGGTGACAGAGCCAAGAATCCAGAGGCGTCACTCGTGCAGCCTGGGCGTCCCGAGGGCACGTGTGAAATTGCACTTGATGCCCACGGCACTCGGGGTGCTCAGGCGGTGGCCATGCAGCTGAAGCGGCCAGCGGGCAGGCAGCCGCACGGCAGCACACTGCACACGCCAAAGGCACAGCTCAAAAGGCAACCAAAGAACACAGTGCCTACGAGGGGGACAAGTCGTCGGACGGGCTGCAGGGTGGGGTCATCTAGGATCAGTCCGGCTGCGACCATGGGCATTATGGCCGTAAAGATCCTGGGCGAGAAGTACAGACAGACACAGGAGATCAAACGGGGAGGTGTGAGAAGTGGACATGGCGCTCGCAGACAGGGAGGCTGCGTTGGGGGTATGCTATGGGCGTGACGGTCCCTCTACCCACAACCCGTATGTTGGAGCCCTCGGCCCCTGGGTGGGCACGGCTCCCATGTGCCCGGCGTGCCTCTGAAAGGGGGCACCTGACATGACCATGGCTCTGGGGAAGGCCCGTCAGGAGGGAGGCAGAGGTCCACGGGGTGAGGAGCCACACGCCAAGGAAGACCCAAAGTCACCTGCAGCCCCCAGAAGCTGGGAGGGGTGCGGATCAATCCCCCCACGGAAGGAACTGATGCGGCTGACCACTTGGGCTTGTGGTCTCCAGCACCGTGGGAGAACATGTTCCTGATGTTTAAGCCACGGTCACAGCAACCCCCAGCAAAGGAATCCAGGGCGTGACAGAGGCCCCGAGGGCAGACAGGGTGGCCCTGCAGCCCGGTGTGCGGGAGGAGGGCAGCCACCTGCTTCCAGGGAGGGGGAGAGTTAGGGGTGACGCTCCTGGGGGCTTCCAGCACGTCTCCCCCACTGCTGTGAGCTGCTCCAGGCAGGAGGGTGACCGGGGGAGACCGGCGGCCACAGTGGGTGGCAAAACGAGAACTGATGCAGCGCACCCGCATAACCACAGCCTGCCTGGCCACGGCCCGGGGAGCAGAGCCCGCAGCGTGCTGAAGTCCCTTCTGGGCCGGGAGAGGGAAGAGGATACGCAGACCAAGCTGCCACAGCTGCTTCCGAGCAGCTTTGATTTTGTTATTTTTTAGAGGCTGGCTGGGAAAAGCCGTGGCGTGATCGTCTCAAATGAGGCTGGGACTCTGTGTCCATCACCTTTGACACACTGCAGGGCGGCTGGCCTCAGGGAACTGCTGGTGGCTTCTCATGGTGACAGCAAGAGGAGGCTTTCACCTTTTGCTAAATGGACCTGGTCATGAGTCGAGGCTGGCGGGGACATGAGCCTTCCAAGGCTCCAAGCCACACGGTCCTGCAGCCACCTCAGCCAGGACCCTTCTTAGCATAACAGGGAGCCCCCCAAGGTCACAGTCACTGTTCAGGGGATAGCCCCGCTCTTAGGGTGAGCGCTTTGTCTGGAGAGAGGTTTGTCCACCTGGAAATGCTGGACTTCATTTGGGGCCTGATTGATTGGGGCCAGACGGAAGCACAGGGGTCTTGGGAAACTTGGAGGCGGGTGCTGGGCCGCCTTGCCTCCCTAAGCCAGGTGCTCTCTTCCTTCCAGGTGCTGCCTCCCTAGCCCAGGTGCTCCCTCCCTAGCCCAGGTGCTCCCTCCCTAGCCCAGGTGCTCCCTGCACAAGCTGCCACCTCTAGAGGTACAGCTGCTTCCACGAAAAGACCGGCTTGTTTGGGCCAAAAGCTTATGTCCTGAATCTGGTGTCGCTGGTTTGAACACCCCCAGCCCTGCTGAATATTTCTGGAAGACTTAAACCAGATGCAGCTCTAACCGTGGCATTTCAGGGGGGTAACGGGCGGCTGTGATGAAGCTATTTCTGGGCTGAAGCAAGGAGGGCGGTGGGTAGGAGGATGGGGACAGAATGCACTGATGCTGCCGCCGGGCAGCACTTGGAGGCCGCCCACTCCAGGCAACCTTTCCGGTGCGTCGGGCCAAGTTCTGATCCGCAGCTTCCCCGCCAAGCCCTCTGCACCCACCTGCCTCCTGGCCAGCCCCTCGGCTGGCTCCGCAGAAAGCAGCCCTGTAGCTGTGCCCGAGAGCCGGGGCCACACACTGGGGGGCAGTGGGCTGGTGTCCACTGGGGATGAGGCTGGAGTCTCAGGCGCTCCCTCGTGACCTGCCTGGGCAGTGCCAGCCGGCTGCTCAATCACAAGCTATTCTTGGCCCGCCTTCTGGGCACACTGTTTTGACTGGCGGCGGGAGTCTCTGGCTCCCTTGACCAGAGGGAACAGCCCAGAAATGCAGAAGCTGGCATCTCTGGCTTGCGGTGCATTCGACAGATAAGGGAACCGGGCAGCCAGCCCACATCTGGTGACGGGGAGCGGGGCGAGGCAGAATGTGAGGGCTCGGCCAGCACGGGGAGGACGCCGGGGTGTGGGTTCAAATCTGACTTGGATTCTTCCAGTAAATGAAGGCTTCTCTGGCCCTGGTTTCCTTATCTGAGAAAGGGGCTCGCTGTCCCAGTGCTGATTTCGGGGTGGCAGACACCTTAGTTCAGGTGCTGTGAGCAGGGAAACCCCTTCAAATCTCCGCAGCAGCTGCTGCTGCTGACCGGTGGGCAGGGAGAGCTGGCCAGGGCAGGAAGCGGAGCTAGACGGCAGCTAACGAGCCTGAGCCCGTGCTGACGCTCCACCGAGGCGAGGCTGGAGCCACCAGGCAGACGCAGATGGGCGGCGGGGGAGGGGGACCATTCCGGCCCAGCCCCCAGGGGTGGCCCCCCTGCCTGGGCTCTGAGCACTCCAGTCGCACTAAGGCCGCTCCCAGTCAGAGCCGAGGGGGACAAAGGCGGCCAGTGTCCAGCCTGGGCTGGTCAAAAGCCTTTTGTGCCAGTGCGATCTCCCAGTTATCCCCCTAAGAGGCTGCAGCGGCCGCCCGTACCCCAGTGCAGAGATTCTCATTTCTCTCGCTCCGTTTCTATGTTTCTGTTGCCTGTCCCTGGCTCCCTCTCTGGCTCCCTGATTCCAGCTGCTTCTCCTGTCAGGATCAGAGCCCCAGGTCCTGCTGGGCGAACAGAAGCTCCTCTCAGGGAGAAGGACTTTGCAAATGGGGCTCAAGGGTCCTCTCTGGAACAATGTGTGCGTGAGGATCAGACGCCACAGCCTGAGTGGGGAGCACAGCCAGTGGAAAGACTGTTGGCTATTTCTGATAACTTTCCTCTGTGTTTTGCCCAGTTTGAGAGCAGCAAAAGCTTGCTCTTGGTGACCTGTTTTAGAGAAAAGGGCTGGAGTGGTAAATATAAAAACCCCGCTTCGGAAGGAATCTCTAGAATGACATGTGACTCAGAAGGACAGTGCTGATGCTGCCGCTCCCTGCAAGTGAACATGCTAGAAAGGCTGATTTTGAAAGATGGGGACGAAGGGCCGAGGCAGGGAGAGTGCTGGTCTCTTGGTCTCCCTCCTCCCTCAGCCCAGGGAGGAACTATGGGGTCCGTGAAACTGTCTCAGCTCCCCCTGATCTAAAGCCCAAAGCTGTAGCTGCTGGCACAAATGAACTGCTCATTCTCACGAGATGGGCTGATGGGTGGATCAGAGTTTCAGAAAAGTCAACCCCATTTCTTCCCAGGCACTGCACGGGGGCCTAACCAAGGCTAAGAGTTTTCCTGGGAACTGAGTCTATCCTAGAACCAAGGCCAAAGACTCCCTCCCCGCTCGCGATGAGGCTACAGTGGACATCCCTTCCTCTCTGCCCAGCGCTCTGACCTGGACTGGGGTCCCTCCATCCCCTATTTTCAGTTCCTGTGAGTTGGATCTGGAGTTAAAGCTACTCTGAGCTTCAGTCTTGAGCATCGAGCAGCATCCTGCATGCCACAGCCTGCTCCACAACTCCTGCTTCTTTTCTTTATCACTGAGATGCTGCTGATGCAACTGCACAGGCCCCCTCCACCAGGGAAACAGCCCACACCGCTATTCGGAATCCCTCAACAGGATTTTCTGATGCCAAGAACCACTGAAGAAGCTTAAAGTCTAGCGAGGACAAGGACTGGGACACACTTTCTTGTGTGACCCCACATCAGCCAGGGCCCAACTGTGCATATACTATATCCCCATAACTGCCGGAGGGACAGACAGGTGTTTGAATGTCACGGAAAGGCACAGAGGTGGCCCGGAGCCACTGCAGACACCTTGGGGCCCTAGCCCTTCAGGCACGTGCTCCCTCCCCACCCCGGGCCTCTTGCTGTCCTCTGAGGCCCAGGGACACACTCAAGCCAGCCCCAGCATCAGCCAGGGCCCACGCCTCAGCCCTCCTAACCTCTCTGCCCCCAGCCCCTGGGAGGATTCAAAGCCGGGGAGCCAGGCCCATCGTGCTTCCAGGGTTAGGCCAGGGCCAGCAGGAAATTGTTAGCGACAAGCCTGGCCCTGGACCAGGTGCCAGGAGAAGTGAGGCCGCGAGAACCGCCAGGTCAGCCGCCAGCGGAGCCACCCCCAGGCGCAAGTGCGTCACTTACAGCCGCTTGATCCCGGACTCTGGCTGGGGGGACATTCTCGGGTGCACGACGGGTGGAGGTTGGGGTATTCGGTTTTCCTCTTCCATTTCCTCACTGGAAGGAGTTGAGAGGCATGAGATAAAAGAGGCAAAGTTTCTGTGAGAGCTGGAATATTCCAGAAGAGTACTGACTGATGGTCTGAGAGGAGAATGGTCTGTGCCCTAGTCTCTGCCTGTGGGCGGGCTGAAGGACATGGCTGGCTAAGAGGGTCCGCCTTGGAGGCAACGGACACAGGTGCCTGCTGTCCCTTTGGCCCAGTTCCTCAAAGGTGAGGAATTTCAGAAAAGGGACCCACCTCTGTCTACCATTTTCTGCAGAGGTTCCCACCACACAGAGTTACTACCTGTTTTTTCCTGTCCTGGCCAAATTCTTCTCTCCATACCTCTGTGGTTACTTCCATCTGGCACAGGGCACCCACCCGTCTTCCATACCCTATCCTTTAGGGAAGGCCTGATTCAAATACCACCTCTTCCATGAAGCCTGCCTGATTTCCACCCCAGCCCCAAGCCAGAATGACCTTGTTTTGAAAGCCCGTGCACACGGACGTCAGGCACACAGACAAAGATGAACAAAGGATGGCATTGTGCTTTCTGCGCATGTTTTATCTTCCCTACTGGAGCAGGGGTCACACTAATGCTGTGTCCTTCCTTCTGGCTTCCCAGTCAACAGGTATTTGTAGGTGCTCTGTGCTGAGGACTTAGCCATGAACAAGACAAATAAGGCTTTTTGGTCCTCATGTTACAGACTGATGTAGAAACAGACAGTAAAACAAGCACGTCAAGGAACATATGATGGTGAAAAGCGCCAGGAGTTAATAAAACTGGGTATAACAACAGATACAGGGCACGCAATGGTGAGTGTGATGGGAACAAAGGTTCCTCTGACCTAAACCCTGAATGACGATGAGTCAATCATGGTAAAAGCGAAGGGAAATGTCTTCCTGACTGCAGAGCCAGCATGTGCAAAGGTCCTGAGGTAGGAGACAATGTAGTGTGTTTTGCAGGAACAACAAGAGGGCGGTGTGTATGAAGCTAAACGAATGGTGGTCTAGGTCAGGAATAGCACTGCCCATGGAACTTTCCACAGGGATGGAAATAGTCCATCCTGGTAGCCAGTGGCTGAATAAGCACAGGGAAGCCAGGAACTGACTTTAGAATTTATTTAAATAGAATTAGGGGCCTCCCTGGTGGCACAGGGGTTAAAGACAACTCTATCAAGCTACTGCCAGCCACTACAGCACAAGTTTGATCCCTGGCCGACCAGGGAGAAACCCACATGGCGCAGCAGACTTCTCCTGTCTCACCCGCTGCTCCCCTCAGCAGTGTGTTTCAGTCAATCCGCCTGTTCTGCTCCCTACTGTGTCGCTGGTGAATCCTCTCACCCCCCTCCCATACCTCTGGCTTTTACCCCAGCTCTTGTATGCATAAATAAATAAACCTTTTTAAAAAAAATAAATAGAATTAATTTACATGTAAGTAGCTACTTGTGGCTACCAGATGGGACAGCACAGGTCTGATGCGTGTTAGGACCAAATAGCCGTGGACTTAATGACGTGTACTTGGCTGTGCTTATACCTGGTGATCTCTTAGCTGCAATTCTCAAATCCAAAAATCTCATTTTCAGGTCATTTATTGGTTGGCAAAAGTGGAAATAGAGTCCTGTGAGGTTGCCTATTATCTTTAGTATGATTTAGCATAACTTCGTATCTTCCACTGCGAAAATATTACTGTTTGATTTTGGGGTCCTGGCCCAAGCCACGCAGTGCATGTAAATCCCTTTCCAGCGGCTGCACCCCAGAGGCAATCCTAGCTGTCTGCAGACTCCACACGGCCCCAGCACGGAGCCGTCCCCTCCTGGCCCAGGGACGGCCTGGGAGCGAGCACGGCCGGCCTCACCTCTTGTAGTAGGCCAGCTCCTCCTGCAGCAGAAACACCTTGGACTTGAGCTCGTTCCTCTCATGTAGCACGTCCCGCAGCTCCTGCAGTGTGAACCGGGGGCGGTTGGGGTCCTTGAGGTCCATGGCCGCCTTCTCCGCCTCGGAGACACCCTCGTCTCCGCCCGGCTCCACCTGGAGGAGGCAGACAGGCTGCTAATGAATTCCTGACGGCCACCACCAGCGCCCACTCTGTACCGCACCCCTGGATTCCCTGCCCTCCTGCCCCCCCCACCCCACCGCTGCGGAGGGCGCTATTTTAAGCACGCTGGCCGGGCGGCCTCGGCTCTCTCTGAAGCCCGCACCACCGGCTCCCGCACAACAGCCGAGCAGTGCAGCCTCCCCGCCACTCAGGGCTCCGCTACAAACAGCATTAAAGGCGTCCCAGGGGAAGGTGCTGTGGGCCCCCCCCTCCACAGCCACCCCCTCCCCGCGCCCACCTTCTCATCTAAGTCTCACCAGCTGCTGCGAAACTGCCCAAAGTTGCCGGAATCTGAGTCCTTCCCGGCTGACTAAGTCACATGCAGCCGCCATCTGTGACCAGCCCTCTGAGCAAGCCTTTTCCTCCCGGGGCTCTGGCCTCCTCAAGATCGGGGGGTGGTGGGAGATGCCTGGGAGAGACCCTGCTGCTCCAGGCCAGACTCCAACCCCCTCCTGCCAACCCTCCTCCACAGCAAGGAGCCTTTCAAAACCCCGTGTTAGATGCACACATCGTAGCATTTCCCACTTGAACCATTTTAAAATACTAACTCAGTGCCATCTCGTCCCCCGGAGTGGTGTACAACTGTCATTTTATCTAGAACTTTCCCAGTACTCCAAAGGGGACCCCGCATCCATTAGCCATCACCTCCAGGCCCTGGCAGCCACCTGTCTGCTGTGTGTCTATGGATCTGTCTGTCCTGGGCATTTCCTAGAAGCAGAACCGCACTCTGCGGCCTTTTGTGACCAGTCTCTTGGCATCAAGATAAAGCTTCACCCATGGGGGGGCGGGGGTCAGGGCTTCCTCTTTGTTGCTGAACCATACTCCACTGAGTGGGTGGGCAGCGTCTGTCTCCCTGTACCATTCACGGGCTTTCAGGCCGCCCCCACCCCGTGGCTCCGCGGCCAGCTCCACCAGGATGCAGGACCCAACCAGGGTCTGTCTGGACATCTGTTCTCAATTCCTTCGGGGACGCAGCTGCGGGGTCCCTTGGCTACTCTGTACTTAACTTTTCGAGGCGCTGCGGAGCTGTCTTCCAGAGCCACCACCCCGTTTTACATTCCCACTAGTGGTGGAACACTGCGTTTATTTTCCCCATTTTTTTTCATCACAAGGAAGTTGTTGCAAGCTGTCCCCACGGCAGCCGGCCGGCTCTGCAGGCGGATGGGTCTGTGTTCCCAACACCCTGAGCTGCCAACATCCCCTAAGCAGCTAGATGGGCTGAACAGAAGCTCCAGAGTGGGAAAACTCTGGAACTGGGGAATGAGGGACTGAAACAGAAACCCTGCCCCACCCCAAACCTTCCGTAGTGGGGAGAAGGGAGAAGGGCCTGGAGTCCAGATGGGCGATGGGAGGCCAGCGTGCTGGGGGGTGGTGGGCTCCAGGAGGCAGAGGTGGGATGCTTCTCACCCTGGGAGAGTCAGGACAAGCTGTTCTGAGAAAGGACAACTTGAAAGGAGACACCCGCCTCTGGGGCAGATCAGGTGACTAGAGCAGTGGAGGGGAGGGGCAGGTACGTGGGGGAAGCTGGTCTGACCAGGGGTGAGCATGGAGCAGCAGGAATCCAGAGCCCATGTTCCCCACCCCCAAGGCCTCTGGCCATCCAGGAACTAGGGGAGGGATGCGGGAGGGCTGGACTTCCCTGCCGCACCTTCAGGAGGCCTGTGTCCCCAGGTCCATCCTTAGAGTCTGACTCCCTGTGCAGAGCCGCACATACGGACCGTGTCTTCTACCCATGACCACTAGAGCAAGTGCCCAGTATACAGCAGGCACTCATAAGGCAGTTCCCTTCTCTTCCCTGCCCAGGGTAAGCGTGGAGCATCCCTGGATGTCTACTAGGTATTCAACATTTATCAAGCATCAACTTCGTGCTGGCTGGTGGTTGAGCTCGGATGAATCTGAACATGGGGGCAGAGGGGAGCGGCGCGCAAATAGAAACTTACAAGGCTCTGTAACAGAAGAGGCCGGGGGACATCACAGCCTAGCAGGGGAGGACCAGGGAAGATGTTACTGCAGATGTGGTCTCTGTGTGTGGGATCTTGACGTACATGCAGGAGTTTGCCAGGAAGCCCCTTACACACATTTTATTTGGCCCTTGCTGTAGTCTAAAACTCTAGAATTAGTTGTCAACTCCCTGGGGTCACACTAAAGTCTGGGTTAGGGGCTTCCTTTTGGAAGGGACACTGGAAGCCTGGTCACGTTGGGCCCACGTGGTGACCCCAGGTCCACGTGACTACACAGCAGTCGCTCCTGTCCACGCTCGTCCATGGCCACCCAATGCCAGAATCTTGGCACCCCCTGCCTGGGCTCTGGAGACATCAGCACCCCCTGCTGTGGGCCCAAATCTCATGCTCATAGTCTGTCCCTCCCCAGATCACCCAGACCCTGGGACACCCCGGGGTCAGTCCTGTGCCTCCCCAGGGAGGGCCAGGCGACATGTCCCAGGAAGGACAGCCCTTCATGGGGGTTCCCAACCCCCACCCCCCCATTCCTTTTGAGCATGCTGCCCGCTCCTGCTGCCTCATTTCCTGGCCTAGCCTTGGGTGACGCAGTGATAGTTCCAAGGACCCTTCCCACCCAGACTGGAGGGCAGGGGAGGGTCCCTACAAATCAACACACTTTCATGGGAGTTGTCACCGCCTGAGACACTCAGGGGCTTTCTCTGGAGAAGGGGCGCTCTTTTATGGGGGAGGGGTTGACTCCCCCCTTCGATCTTAGGGGAGCCCCCAATAGGTTGGCAAAGGAGTGCAGACTTTCAGGTCTAACCTCTGAAAGGAAGAAAGCTGGAGGTTCCAGCTTCCCCAGGGGTCACCCAGCTTGGGAACAGGCTGCAGAAGAGCAGCGAGCTGCTTAGTCACGACAACTACCTGATTTTATTCCCTGTTTCTGTCCCGCCCCCTCGGTGCCAGAAAGGGAAGCTGAGAACGACAGACTTCAAGCCAAGGAGGTGTGAAACATCCCTGGCCCCGTTGCTAGAGAGATCTGGGCTCTGAGTCTTAGGGCTGGGGGCATGTTCTTGGGACCTGGGGTTGAACCAGGCACCCCTTGCCAGCAAGAGACAGGCCTGAGCTCTCTCCAGACTCAGGGGTTTGCCAGGGGAAGGGGGGTGACCTCCCCAAGCTTTACCTGGGGGCTGTCTGCAGGCTCGCTGCCCCCCTCCACCCACCCCCACAGACCCAGTCCAGCCCTGGCCTCTCCCGCGGGGATTACTGCAGAGGGTCTACCCTCAGCTCCCCCATTTAAACTGCTCCCCGTAAACTCAGGGCTGGTCCTGTCCCTACCCGCTGAAACCCTGTAAGGGGACCCACATTGGCACTGCTCGTGGGTGGCATTCGCACCCCACTCTGGCACTGCAGATGACAGCTGCTGTCGCCGCCTGGTCTGCCTTGGTTCCTACGCTTCTTCGGCTAAGTCAGTGCTTTTCCTTTGGGGCCACCCCCCACCCCACCCCCGTCAGTGCATGTGGCTTGAATGGACACCCAGGGTAGCCATGTGACTCGGGGATGGATGACAGGCATGGGCCCAACCTCCCGCCGTGATGCCTCCAGCGACGGTCAATGAGAGGTTCCCTGAGACCTTCGTTGGGAATGTGGGAAAGAGGCCACTGCTTTCCACCAGGGTTGCGAAGCTGGTGGGATACCAGAGGGTACTTGTGACGAAAGCCTGGTCGAGAATGACACCAACACAGAGGAAAGCAGAGCTGAGAGAACCACCCTGGAACCAGCCACACCTGAAGCCATCTTATCCCAGAGCTTTTAGTTACACAGCCAATAACTTCCTCCCCTGCCCCAAACCATTTTATTTGAGTTTTAGTCACTCTTAGCCAAAAGCAGGCCTCAATCTCTTCAAGACTTCTCTCCCTCACCTGCTGAATATACCCTAGGTTTCTGTCCTTTCAGAACCTACTAGTATCTGACCTGAATTCACAAGGCACTGTGTTGGGATGTGAGCCAACCTGAGGGTGAGCTCCTTGGCCTCACCTCCACCTGTACCCCAGAGGACTAGCACGGCGCCTGAGACCTGCACCAGTGAGCAGCAGTCAGGGGGAAGAGCAAGCCCCGAGCGTCTCCTCAGCACTGCCTGATGCTTTTCTCAAACAGCTCTTCTGCCTTCCACTTTCCCATCTACCAGAATGTCAGCATTGTTAGGACTGACATCCAGCTAGAGGGACAGTTCTTCCATGAAACTCCACTCCACCCTGCGCTGCCCTGTCCTCTGAGACCCCATATGCCCTGGGGGCATAACTACAGCACCCCCAACCCCCAGCCCTGAGGCTTCCCTGTTTGAGTGACAAGCATCCTTAACTGCCGTATCTCCAAGGGACCAGCAGGCCCCATCTGTTCCACAAGTTCTGCCCAGGAGTTCTGGGGAGGGACCATCCCCTGGGGGCCACCTCAGCTAAATGGCGACAGGCACTGAGGATAAATGTTCTAAGCCTTTGTCCTTCAGAAACAGCCTGGGAAGTTTCTTTGTGCTTCTGGGAGGTCTTTTGTCTTGGCTACCTTCACATTGCACATTTTTGAGATTCATGCAGGTTGTAACATGACCTAGTGTTTCACTCCTTCTGGGGGCTGAATACTATTCCACTGTGCGGACGGACGTCACATGCTTGCTTATCCAGTCATCAGCTGATGGACATGAGGGCTGTTTCCACCTTATGTCTATTAAGACTAGAACTACAGGTTTTAACGTGGACAAATAATTTCTCATCGGGTGATATCTAAAGTACAATCACAAGTCATAATGATGTTATGTGGGATTTGACTAACATCTGTCTCTAATACTAAACCAAGTTCCACATAGATAGGAACCAGGTTTGCTTTTTGCTCTCCATTTTATCCCCCAAGGAACCTGCCACATAGTTAACAACTACATGAATGAATGGATGCATGCATGCATGCATGGTAGATTCCCAGCAGCCATCACTGAGCTGACTGCTCTGGGCTGGAATGCTGGGAGTCCTGGGTTCCAGGCCCAGCTCTGCCCAGCTCTGCCCAGCTGTGTGTGTCCTCCTGTGAAGCTTGCTCTCTCTGGGCCTCCCATTTCCTTAAGTATAATGGGGAACACAAGGCAGCCCTGCCCCCTGGAGCCAGTCCACAGACTTACCCTCCCACATCACTTCCACACCAGCTTCCCACTTGCCACTCACCTCTGGCTCCTTCTCTCCATTCTGGCTGAGCTCACCCTGCAGCCTCTCTCGCAGCTTCCCGAGCTCCGCTCGCAGGCTGCCCATCTCCTGCTCCTTGGTTTGCAGATCTGCCTCCAGTTCTACCTTCTGTTCAATCAGAGACTTCCCCTGGGCCTCCACCACTGTGATGCGGTGGCGAAGGTCGTGGTTGATCTTCATTAACCGAGTCTGCTGCTGTTGCAGCTGGAGAGAGAGGAAGGCCATTGCATGGGACCGCCACGTACAGTAGCTCATGTTGAGCACTGCACAGGCACATCATCTAGAGGCATGCCATTCCATCTTTGGACACCTTTATTTGTTTGAAATTTGTTCATATGCTTATAGCTCTACTGAGATCATAGATGGGCAATTCAAATATTATGACAGATGGAAGCTAAGCATCTTCTTAGTGTATGGTAACAGTTTCTGACAGATAGAAGTAAGTTATCTTAAGAAAGGGGTGTCCTTCTAATTCAGGTAGACACACTATAAGGGTTCCTGGAGCAGCCTGGACACATGGGACAGGAAGCAGGTGGAGTGGAGGAAGTCTCAGGGTCAGAGCAAAGGCTGAGCAGGCCTCGGGGTCCCCCAGCATATAAAGGGAGTCAGAGGACCTCAAGCCTGCCGTTTTGGGGCTGGGACCTCCAAGCTGCTGCAGGGCCCCACCCTATGGAGCCCAAGCATGACCCAGGGGAGACTCGGACCCTCTCAATCTCTTGCTGGTACCTCCTGGCCAGGGGCAGGTCAGGGCTAGCGCTTGTCACTTACAGCCTCAACATCCTCATTTTTCAGGCCCAGCTCCCGGTCTTTGGCTCGAATCTCGTCACGCTGTTTGTCCACCACCTCCTTAAGCTTCTTCATCACCTGGCGCTCTCGCTCCGACATGCCTGGGTGGGCGAGCAGGACCAGCGTGAGTGCCCCTGCCCTGCTTCAATCCGGAGCTCCCCGCTGCAACATGCCCGCCTCAGCTTCTCCACCTGCTCCCTCCACCCCATGGCGCCTGAGTCTCTGCACACCCACCCCGTGTCTGTGCACCCACCCTGTCTCTGCACACCCACCCCATGTCTGAGCATCTGCCCCTGCTGCCCCGCCCCGCCTCCCCCGGCTGAAATTCCTTCTTTCCACCCTGCCCCTGGCTGCCCCCCCAGGTTCAGGTCTCAGCTCAAAGGTCACCTCCTCACAGAGGCCCTGCCTTCCTGGACGCCCCCAGGAAGCTTCCATGCTCACTCCTCATTTATCACCTTCACAGATCTTTTTACAACCGAGTGTCTTCACCTCCTCTCACCTGAGGGAGACCCTGCCCCGAGGTCCAGAGGGTGTGCTCTGGAGTGCAAATGTCAACTCTCCCACTTACTAGCTTTTGCCAGCCACTCTGTGCCTCAGTTTCCACATCTTTAAAACAGGAAAGGTGACAGGACCTCCCAACCCCACAGGGCTGCCGAGGACTGAGTTGATACAGATATGCCGGCACACAACAGGGGCTCCCCAGTGCCGACCCCCTCTGCAGGCCTTGCCTGACCTACTCACTGCCGTACCCCTGGGCTAGCACCACACCCAGCACATAGCAGGTGCTTGCTCAGTGATGAGTTAATGGGCTGTAGGACAGTGTTAAATTTATTTTCTGTGCTGCTGTAACAAATACACTGCTCCCCTCAGCAACGTATTTTGGTCAGTCTGCCTGTTCTGTTCCCCGCTCTGTCTCTGGTGGATCCTCTCACTCCCTGCATCTCTGGCCCGTACTGCAGCTCTTGTATGCATAAATAAACAAATCTTAAAAAAAAAAAAATCAAGTAATGAGTCACCAAAGGACAAGCACTGTGTGATTCCACTTCCATGGGGTCACCAGAGGAGCCCTCCTCACAGAGACAGAGAGCAGCTGGGCAGGGCCCTGGGCAGGGGCCGGGGAGTGAGTGTTTGCTGGGGTCGGGTTGTGCAAGATAAAAAGAGCCTGTAGATTGGATGCAAGAGAAAGTGAATATACTTAGCACTGAACCGTACACTTAAAAATGGTTCAGATGGTGAATTTCATGTGTACTTTATCACTAGAGAGAGAGAGAGAGAGAGAGAGAGAGAGAAAACCCACGGTATTTTTAAAAATGAACTAGAAAGAATAATTGTGGGGACCTCCCTGGTGGCACAAGGTGTTAAGTCTCAGCACTATGAAGCTATCCATAGCCACAGTAGCATGAGTTCGATCCCCGGCCAGGGAGCTGACTCACATGGCACAGCAGACCTCTCCTGTCTCCCCGCTGCTCCCCTCAGCAGTGTATTTCAGTAGATCTGCCTCTTTTGCTCCCTACTCTGTCGCTGGTGAATCTTCTCACCCCCTGCACCTCTGGCCTGCACCCCAGTGTTTGTATGCATAAATAAATCTTTAAAAATAGACATATAGATATATAATTACATATACGGCCTGCCTTGTTTCTATTAAGAAGCACTGTTCTCAGCTGCCCTTCAGAAAACGACAATGTGGTCACAGCCTCAGCTCTTGCTGACCGAGGTGTCTGTCCAGAGCCCAAGAACTTCCCCCAGAGCGCTGGGTATCTCTGTGTCCCCATCCACCGGTCCAATGGCTCTGATAACTGTATATCCTCAGGTGCTAAAAAGTAGTTTTTACTCACTACCCCATGACCAACCAGCTGAATGTCCAAAAACAGGGCAGGGCAATGCTTTCCTTTGGGAAGCTTCCTGCAAGTGTGACCAGGACCCTACGGGGGTCCTGGCGCAGTGCTGGTGCTCAGGGGGGTCTGGCCTCTCTGAACAGGCTCCTTACGCGCCCCCCCATCCACTTTAAGTCCTCAGTCTACCCACCCACCAGGAGCCTGGCACTGAGTCCTAACTTCCTGGCCTCTGCTTTCTCCAAGACTTCTTCCCCACGTCTGTTTCGCTCACAGTGGAGACATGCTTTGTTCTTGTTGTGTTCCCATGGTTTCCCCTGTGGGTAAAAATACCCATGGCCGGCAGGCCTGGCATCTGCCCAGCCTCTCCACTTGGGTGGGGGCTGCTGTGGGCGGAGAAGCCAGCCTCCCAAGGGAGCCGGACCCATGCTGGGTATGCTAAGTGCACCTCCCATGCCTCCAAGCTGGCAGCATCCTGGAGGGCTGGCAGGGGGCTGGAGAGCTAATGTTGGAGCTCCGTGTGGACACTGCCACCGCCCACAGATGCAGCAACATGCTGGGGAACGCTCAGGTGCTCAGGCGCAGGTGGGGGAAGGGGGTGCTGTGGGGAACATTTACACCCAGGCCTTAGGGCCATCATCAAGGCAGGCAGAGAGTTCCCCGGCCACCCTCAGGGGACTCTGGGTACCCTGCAGAAATGTCAGACAAAAAGATGCTACCTTGTGGCCCAGCAATTCCACTCCCAGGCAGTGAATCTAAAGAACTGAGAGCACACACACAGCAGCACCGCTCACAACAGCCAAAAGCTGGAAACAACCCGAAGTCTATGAATGGATGAATGAATAACCAAAATGTGGTCTAGCCACACCATGGAACATTATTCAGCCACAAAGAGGGATGTTCTAATATATGCTATAACACACATGAACCTTGAAAATATGATGCTAAATGAAAAAAGTCAGGCAGAAGACCACATAAGAGTCCCTTTATGTGAAATGTCCAGACCATGTGATTTATAGAAACAGAAAGTGGTTGCTTATGGCATGGGGTGGGACAGACATGGGAAGAAAGAGACAATGACAACGAAAGGGCTGGTGTTTCTTTTAAGGTGATGAAAATATCCTGTGGATGGTGCAACTCTGTAAATATACTAAAAGGCACTGAATTGTACACTTTATTATTTTTTTAAAGATTTATTTATTTATACAAGAACTGGGTACAGGCCAGAGGTGCGGGAGGTTAAGAGAATTGACCAGAGACAGAGCTGGGAGTAGAACAGGCAGACAGACCGAAGACACTGCTGTAGGGGAGCAGCGGGCATGGCAGGAAAAGTCTGCTGTGCCATGTGGAATTCTCGCCGGCTGGCCGGCCGGGATCGAACCCGCTCTGCAGAGGCTGCAGACAGCCTCACAGCATGGTGCTCAACTCGCTGCACCACTGGGGAGGCCCTGAATTGTACACTTTAAATGGGTGAACTGACATCCCAATAAAAATGTTATGAAACAAATAATAGCCAATATTAATCCAAAGTTTGGTTTGCTATGTGCTAAATATTTGACATACACTAACTTCTTTAATCTTCATAACAGCCACATTTTACCACAGAGGAAGTGGACTTATGGAGAGGTAGATGTCATTACAGAGTGGCCCTCTTTATCTGGAGTAATGCTTTTGGCCTAAAGTCTATTTTGTCTTATGCTCACGTAGCTTTCTTTGGGTGTTTTGGCCTAAAGTCTATTTTGTCTTATGCTCATGTAGCTTTCTTATGCTCACCAGCTTTCTTTGGGTGTTTACCTAGTATATCTTTCCCCAGCCTTTTACTTTCTTTTTTTTAAAAAACATTTTATTTTTTAAGATTTATTTATTTATTTATACATACATACAAGCGCTGGGTACAGTCAGAAGCGCAGGAGGGTGAGAGAATTCACCAGAGCGGAGAACAGAATAGGCAGAAGGACCGAAGTACACTGCTGAGGGGAGCAGCGGGCAGCAGGAAAAGTCTGTGCGCCATGCGGGACCCTCCTCCGGTGGCCAGGGAGCAGCTGGGGATCAAACCGGCAAGCTTTGCAACCCAGCGCTCAACCACTGCGCTACCGGGGAGGCCCCCCAGCCTTTTACTTTCAAACTTTATTTAGCAATATCTTTCACAAACAACACATAATTGAATTTTTAAAATTTGATCCATCTTTGTCTTTTATCTAAACTTTTTAGTCCATTTACATTTAATATAACTGCTGGTATATCTGTAACTCTCCCATCTTATGATTTAGTCCTTTTCTGTTTGTTACACTTGCTTTGTTTTTCTCTTGCTCCTGGCCTTCATTTGAGGGACTAATTATATAGCACTATGGTACTGGGATATTATGATAGAATAAGCAATATTTGGCCTCCAAACTGGCCCTTGGTACAAGAGCTCCTAAAACTCTTGGAATTCCCTGAGTGTGACTGGTGAGAGGAATGTCAGTTGTTATCATAACAAGTCCATTCAAGAGGCTTGGATTTATGTTAATGAGGTGACTCTCAATGGTCCCCTAAATAGTTTCAGGCAGGGGCTGGTTGCTAGAGAAACCAGACATGTAATTAGAGGTTTGGAACTTTCAGCCTCTCTCCATTCCCACCATCAGGGAGGGGAGAGCAGCTGGAGATGAAGTGAATCCCCAAAGACCACTGGTTTCATCAGTCATCCCTGTATAATGGAAGCTCCACAGAAATACTCTAAGTGATAGCATTCCAACAGTTCTGGGCTGGTGAACACATCCATGTGCACAGAGGGTGGCGAACACCAAGCTCCACAGGGATAGAAGCTCCTGTGCCTGGGACCCTTTGGGTCCTATCCGTATGTGCCTTTTATCTGGCTGTCATTATGTCCTTTATAATAAACCAGTCAACACAAGCAGAATATTTCCCTGAATTCTTAAGTCATTCCAGAAAATGATGTTCTCAACCCAAGGGGAGAATTGTGGGAACCCCTGACTTTGCAGCCAATCGGACAGAATTGTGGATAACCTGGAGCCCCATCACTTGCAATGACATCCAAGTGGGGGCAGTCTTGTGGGACTGAGCTCCTCACCTGTGCAGTCTGGGTTAACTGCAGGAAGTAAATGTCAGAATTGAACTAGGTTACAGGGCACAGTCGTTACCTGCAAAGTTGGAAAACTGGCTGGCGGGGGTGGGGAAATACCCACATTTGGTGTCAGCCCTTCCCTTCCTGGCCCGCTAGCACTGCAGAAGGGAGACTCAGGCCGAGCACAGGCCTCTCTGTCCTCATGCTGGCACAGATGGGCACAGAGCAAGCCCTCCAGTGACAAATGAGATAGAGGGCAACAGAATCAACAGTTCTGTGTGGAACTGCAAACTTGGAGCGCTGCACTGTCACTGTGGCATGAGTCCCATCTTCTCCCAGCCAGAACCACATGACTCCAGGAGCCCCAGAATAAACCCTAAATTCAGGGGGCCGACTTCAGCAGAGCTAAATTCTAGTCCTCATTCTGCTACTAACTTGCTGTGCCACCCTGGGCCAATCACTGGCCCTCTCTGAGCCTAAATTTTCCTCATGTACTCAAAGAGGAAGCTGGGCTAGATAACTACAACTCACAGTAATAACAGATAACACTGGCTGAGGATATGTACCAGCTACTATTCTAAGCAGGTGATACGTATTAACCCATGTAATCTTCATGACAACCTTATGAGGAAGATATAGTTAATTCCCCCATTTTTATATAGGAGACGACTTAGGCACACTAAAGTCAAGTGACTTGATCAAGGTCACTTAGCAAGTCAGTATTGGCATTAGAGTTCAAATGTGGGCAGTCTGACCCTCTAGTCCACGCTTATAACCACAGACTTTCGTTTTCCTTGTACAAATCACATCTTGACAATGAAAACCCAAGGAAAAGAGAATTCCCGTTCCTGGATCAAGCATTTCCCTTTTTCTGGGTTCTTGCAGTCATTATCAGTGCATTACTTTAGTTTCACAAAGTTGTAACCACAAGTTCTGAACTCTACACCCCCAGACAAGTCTGCCCCACAATTCATCAAACACGAGAACTGCCTGTGTGGGGACCTGAGGAGTTTATGCAGACTAAAGATAGGGGTCTGAATTTTCTTGGGGCAAGCCGCAAGAGGCAGTCTGATTGGCAAGAGGCTGCAGGGGAGAAGAGAGCTGGTGCAGCTCCAGGGGCCCAGACCAATTCTTCTGTCTGTCCTTGCTTCCCTAGCACCTACAGAGGTCTTGTAGTGAAGGTTCTAGAAAACTATCAGGTGAATGACAATTGAGGGGCTCAGGTGTCACTCAGCTTTGGGTTGCCATACTGTTAATTGTGAACCAATGATAAGAGTCTCAAATCTCTTCCCAGGGACTTAAATAAAATCCAAACCTTGGTCTTTACAGGGATATGTGATCTGACCCCTCTGGCCTCATCTTTAAGTATCCTTGGCCTCCACCATCTTCTGCTGTACTTTCTCTTTTTTTTTTTTTTTTTAATAGAGGCATGTTTTGTTTGTTTGTTTGTTTATACATGCACTGGGTACAGTCAGAAGCGCGGGAGGGTGAGAGAATTCACCAGAGCCAGAGCGGGGAGCAGAGCAGGCAGAAGGACCGAAGTACACTGCTGAGGGGAGCAGTGGGCGGCAGGAGAGGTCTGCGTGCCATGTGGGACCCTCCTCAGGTGGCCGGGGAGCAGCCGGGGATCGAACCGGCGCCGCAGAGGCCGCGGGCAGCTTCGCAACCCAGCGCTCAAGTGCTGCGCCACCGGGGAGGTCCTGCTGTACTTTCTCTTAAACCCTCATGCCCCAGGACCTTTGCACTTGCTTCTCTCCCAAGATATTTGCATGGCTCCCTCTCACCTTGTTAGTGCTCAAATATCATCTCACTCGAGGCCTCCCCTGATCATCAAATCAAAGGCCCCCTCCCCCCGAGTTGCTGCCACCATCATTTTAATTCTTCCACTGCCCCCATCTGGAACTGTGTCATCTATTTTACATATTTATCATTTACTTCCACCACCTAGAACCCTACAATAAACCTCCTGAGGGCAGGGCCCCATCTAATGTGTCTCCCTGATGCTCAAACAAGGAATCAACAGCAATTTGGCAACCGGGCCTCTCAGTTGCATCACCTGTAAATGACCTTCAATGACTTTCCTCAGGAGAGCAATGGCGAGAATCCAGGTGACACTTGAGACAGGAGGCCTGGGACTTTAGAAAGTACCAACTCAGGCGTCCAGGTGCAGGGACTGCCCTCGGTGTCGCTGGGAGCGGGGGTGGTGCCAGTGGGAACTGCCTTCGCCGTCCCTCCATTCTGACCTCTCCTCTTACCTTCGTGCTTCTGGAACTCCTCCTCGGAGAAGCTGACGTCCTTGTGGGAGAGGTTGGTCATGAGCTGTTTGTTCTCCTCCTGCAGCTGGGCGATCTGGGAGAGGAGGTCCTGGGCTTCCCCCCGCCACACGTCCTCCACCAGCTCCAGCTCCTGCCAGGTGACAGGCCGCAAGGGGTTAATGCAGCACCTTACCCACCTCGCCCACTACCCTCAGGATTTTGAGGTGACCCCTACCCCATGAAAATCAGGCAGAGGGCTGCGGAGCAGACAAGGCAGTTTTGCAAGAACTAGAATGTGGCATTGCCTGGCAGAGCCTGGATTTATGCCATCAGGACCCACCAGGTTGGACCTGCCCCAAGGACAACCATGGAGTTATGAGGAGACAAAGTGGGGGAGTGGGCACAGGCACAGGTGATGCGGATGTGAACATCCCCAATTGCTCTGGGCATCACCTCCCTGACTTTTGGCAGATGCTCAGTCAGGAGAAACCTTTCTCCACTTGGGGAGGAGGCTTCAAGAACCCAGGGATGCCACCCGGCCCCAGAGCCTCTTTTCTGCCTCTGTTTGGAGGGGTCTGGAGTTTAACCACAGTATGCCTTAGTTCCCCTGAGCTGGAGAGTCCTAATGGAAAGGCCCACTAGGTGGATGTAAGAATAAATGAGATGGCACTATTAAATTTATTATGTGGATGGCTACAATCAAAAGAACAGGTAATAATATGCGTTGACGAGGGTACAGAACAACTGCAAGCCTCCCGCATGGCGGATGGGATCAGACAGGTGCAGTGGTGAAGTTTAGTGGTTCCTCAAAAAGTGAAACACAGTTGGGGCCCCCCTGGTGGCCCAGAAGTTAAAGTCTCAGCATGATGAAGCTATCAGCAGCCACAGAGGCCTGAGTTCAATCCCCGGCCAGGGAGCTGACCCACAGGGTGCAGCAGACCTCTCCTGTCTCCCCGCTGCCCCCCTCAGCAGTGTACTTCATTCGATCCACCTGTTCTGCTCCCCACCCTGTTGCTGGTGAATCCTCTCACACACCCCTCTCCACCCCCCACACCCCCGCACCTCTGGCCTAGACCCCAGCTCTTGTATGCATAAATAAATAAAATAAATCTTTAAAAAAAAAAGTGAAACACAGTAACCATCTGATGCAGCAATTTCACTCCTGGGATCTGCCCAGGAGAAACTAGAAGAGATGCGCCCACCCCTGACATGTGCATGGACGTTCCCAGCAGCACCCGTCACAAAGCCATCAACTGATGGAGGGGTCAGTAACCATGGCCCGTCCACACAGCATGCGATGCAGACAGTGGGGCATGAGGCCCTGCCATCGGCCACCTTGGGGACAGGAGGCGACATGAGGGAAGCCCGACACCAAAGGTCACGCATTGCAGAATCCCGCCAGAGGGGATCGTCCAGACCAGGCCAATCTCAGACGGGTACACACGGCTGGGGTGTGTGGGGAAGTGAGTCAGCAGGTGTGGGTTTCTCTTGAGAGGAATGAAAATGGAAAAGCGATGGCAGGGCTGGAGCTACCGCATCCCAGCTCTGCAAGGAGTCTAAAACCATTGAATGGGACGCTTTAAATGGGTGCAGTGCCTCAGATCCACAGTCTGCTTGCCAGTTTTGTCTTTTTTTTTCCCATAGAGCGGGGGAGGGATCAAAACAGGGGCGGGGAGCGCACAAGGGACTGTAGTGTTGGATCACGGGTGCCTGGTGGTGGGAGAATTATGAGAACTACAACAGAGGGGAGAAATCAAATACTATCCACAAATTAACAATGATGTAAGAAAATAAGTAATTTAAAATAAATAAACAAAATGCTGTTGCAAATAAATAAATGGGTGAATTGCATGGTCTGTGAATTATACTCAGTCAGGCCGTTGCCAAAACCAAAAAGGTATATGGGGGACCATAAACAAAGCCGTATTTGTAGCGCAGATCCCTGAGTCTGAATCCTGCCCCTGCCAGGTACTAGCAGCTCTTGGATGAGTTATCCCACCTGTGGGTGCCCGGGAAACTGGGAAACTGGGTCACAGCTGCCGCTGAGCTGCAAGGATGAAATGGTTAATGTATGTGAATGCTGGAATATGTAAATTGTGGACATGTTTGGAATCGTGCCCAACCTGGAAAGTGCTAGCGATGTGTCTGCTGATTTCTGCTCCTGCCACAGCCCATCGCCAGGCGGCCCAGGTGGCCGGATCTCCAGCATTGCCTCCGTTCAGCTTTTAAATAAGTTCCAAATCCCTTCTCCTTTGTCAGGAAGGCTGCTGCATGGGGGACGAGAGAGGCAGTAACGAAGTATTCCCACAGCTGGTTCAAGGTCACCAGGGCCGTGATGGGGGCGGACAGAGGGCAGAGGTGGTGCTGGAATGGTGGAGGAGGTGCATAACCTTCCCTGTGCAAGTGCAGTTAACAGCAGAGCCAGAGCTGCCATCCGTCCCCTCTGCTCCCACTGCAAGGCTGGGCACAGAGAGGCCTAGGGAGCAGTCAAGTCTAATCGCCTGGGGGAGGCAGAATAAGGTCCAGATTCGAAGTCCTGGAACCTGAGACTGTGCCCTTACGTGCAGATGGGACTCATGAAGGGTCCCCAGGTGGGGAGACTCTCCTTGACTAGCCAGGGGGCCCCGTGTCATCACAAGGGTCCTTCTAAGTGGAAGAGGGAGGCAGAGGGCTGAGTCAGACCATGTGGGAGAGAAGCAGAGGTCAGAGTTGGAGACTTGACGGAGCTCCGCTGCAGGCCTGACGGGGTGGAGGGGGCTCTAAGTCAGAATGCAGACCCCATCCATTATTACCTTAGTGATAGTTCCTGTTAGAGCCCATCATCCCTGGGATAACAACTTTTGTGTTGTTTTGAGCCAGTGAGTTTGTGATAATCTGTTACAGCAGCAATAGGAGACGAATACGGACTTTAACCCTCAGTTCTTTATTCCGTCTCTCAAGAAACTAAAGGGGATGCTGAGGGAGCCCATTCTTGCCTCTGAGCTGATGGTGAATAATTTGATACTGCCTCACGCCACCGAAAAAGACTCTTCCAGAAAGTCGGCCCAGATTGTTCACCCCCCTGGCCTTCTCTCGGCACCAACAGTTTTTAAACTCTTGACACGGGCCTCCAAGGTCCTGCACAATCAGACCCTGCATCTCCCTGACCCCATCCTCCCACTCCCTCACTCTGCTCCAGCCACCCTGCTGCTTTATGTTTCCAAAACTCACCAAACTCATCCCTACCTCAGGGCCTTTGCATGTGCTGTAGCTTCTGCCTGGACTGCCCCGCCCCTAGATCTCTCTGTAGCTGGCATCTACTCTTCATTCAGATCTCACCTCCTCCGGGAAGCCTTCCTGAACTGCCTTATCTATCGGATCTCCACCCTGGTCAGTCTCTTTCATATTGTCTTTTTATCTCTTTCACGGCATTTATCATGAGTTGGAGTTTTTAAAACATACAGAAAAATGTCTATCTCCCCACACTACAACTGCACTGTTCCACTGAGCAGCCATCAGCCACACGTGGGCTGAACAGAAGCGTGCAGTCAGTGTTAAACATGCACTGGATTTTGAAGACACAGTAGGAAAAGAAGATGCAAAATGCCTCATTATTAACTTTTCTGTAACTATGTGAGGTGATGAAAGCTAACTAAATATATTATCATCATTTCACAACATATACATACTTCAAATTGTTATGCTGCACACCTAAAATTATTAGTACAGTGTTATATGTTAATTATGGCTTCATAAAAAGTTATTTACACTGATTCTGTGTTGATACAATATTCTGCATAGATTGAGTTTGATAAGGTGTTATTAATATTAACCTCTTTGGTGCCTTTTTATTAATCTGACATTCACAGCACATTTCTATGGAGCCTGCAGTGCCCTAGAAAGACAAATCCATGAGAACAAAGATCTGATCTGCTGTGGTCACAGGTATCTCCCAGAAGTGCTTAGCACACAGTAGGTGCTCAATAAATGTTTGTTGAATGACTAAATAACATATGCTGGTTACTTTATATGCACCTACGTCGTCGGCACAGCGACTGACCTCTAAAGCCTCTCTGTGTGCGTCGCCTGTCTTCTCTGTCCTACCCTGAGATGAGGAACTGGCTCTCTTTTTCTCCGCGGTGCCCACATCACCTAAGAGGATGCTTTGCACGTGGTGGCCCATCAACAGGCCTCAGACTGAGTAAGCAGGGAGACTATGGTAAGACTGGGCTGGGCCTGAGTGGTGAGCACTTGGGCTTTGCAGGAGGAGGAGTTGGTGGAAGCGAGGGCCCGGGCTTTACCGGAGAGGAATTTGCTGAAATAGAGAGTGAGTGAGGAAAGGGGGCAGGAAGGAAGGAAGGGATCAGGCGAATGGCACGCCAAGAAGATTTCTGCGGCAGTAACACCCTGAGAGTTCTCGAGGCTACAGGAAAACAAGAGGACACGTGGGTTGGGATGGGAGAAGACAATTTTGTCCTCTGCTGGAGGAGCGGTCAGCTTCTGTGTTTACAAACAAGCCCTGGCTCTGGACACTGGTGTTTACTTCCTGGCTGGCGGCACTACAGAAGCGACAAGTGCAGCTGCTGAAGCCCCACCAACTGCAGGCCTAGGAGACTCTGGGGGTTCCCACGGGTGCACCCAGCCCAGTGGCAGCAGGTCTACAATGCCAGGGCTGGGGATACAGGGGCCAGGGCTTCTGGGTGTTCTGGGCTAAGGCCCTTAGCCCCTGTTAAACCCTCTCCTCCTCCCTGGGCCTCTGGGAGGGATGAAAGGTGCCTGGGAAGGGGGGCTGCCAACGTCAGCCTGTCACCCAGGACCACCTTGGTGAAAGCCTCACCAGCATAAAGGCAGCAGCGAACACTTGTAAGGCCCTGGGGATGGGCTGAACTCTGCCCCGAGCTCCTTCTATCTGTTCTCATCACAATCCCCCAAGATAGTTCTACTGTGATCTCCGTTTCACAGTGGGGGAAACTGAGGCACAGAGAAGCAAGGTGTCTTGCCCAAGAGTGGCAGCGTTTGAAACCAGGCTGCCCAGCTCCAAAGTTCCTGGGAATCTTGATCTTGATTATAGGGCTGGGGCACTTGTAAGCTCCCAGAGTGATCCTGGAAATGTTACCTAACTCTGGGCACTTGAGTTTCCTTCCTGACCCCAGGACACATGGGCCTGTGGGCAAATACAGTCAAACCTCAAGCACCACTGCTCTTAGCCAGCACGGACACAGTGGACACAGCCTGGGCTAGTTTCCTTGAAAATACAAGGGTCTCATCTCCTGACTTGCCCGCTGCTCCCCTAGCAGTGTATTTCAGTCCATCTGCCTGTTCTGTTCCCCACTCTGTCTCTGGTGATTTCTCTTACCCCCCACACCTCTGGCCTGTACCCCAGTTCTTGTATGCATAAGTAAATAAATCTTGAAAAAAAATAAAATAAAATACAAGGGTCTCAAAGTACATATTACGCGATGGGCTGCCAAGGAGGTTCAGAGAGGCCAAGTGTATTTCCTGAGGCCACACAGCATGCCAGGGTCCCCTGCTCAGACACTCTGGTCCCCCCAGGAAAGGTGTTTCCTCCCATTCTGAGTCTGGAAGGTCTGATAGGCGCTTCCCTGGGCTGAGGTCAGGGCAGGAAACCATATGTCTCCCACTTCCTTCTCCCCAGGCACCTTGCCTGGACCAGCCCACAGGGAGCCCCGTGCTCCAGCCAAGGCTTCGCCAGCTTGCCCCAAACCAGCTCCTTCCTCCAGTTCAACTGGAATCCCCTCCACCTCCACCGGGGCCGCGCTCTCAGCACTGACTTGGGACACAGCCCTCCCTCCCACTCTGACCCTCTGTGTCTTCATCCGCGAAATGGAGATAATTCCTACTCCATGGAGGATGAAAGATAAAACCAAGGAGGGGAAAGCACTTCAGACCTTAAGTCGGTAAAGGGGAAGGAAGCCTGGAAAGCAATTTGCAAATAGGAAGCCAGAGTCTGGGGGTCAATGCTCTCAGCGGGAGAGTCACACCCCTGGTCTCCGGGGGCTCGGGGTGGGCTGCAGCAGTCCGGTCTTGGGTAACACTGGCGGGCAGGGGCTTATTTCATTTCCGGGGAAGAATAATACCCTGCAAGCACTTTAACACGGGTTAGGTCTCCCTAGTCCTGAAGAGGCGGGCTCTACTCTGGTCACCCCTGACCTGTGAGCAAACCGAGTCCCCAGAGGTTGAGTAGTTTGCCCAAGGCCACACCGCCTGCAGGTGGGATTACAAGTCAGGTGAGGTCCAGAGCGCTGCCCTTCGCCCGTGGGGTGGCGCACGCCTGGGGCCCCTCACCGGGCGCAAGACTCAGGGGTCCGCTCCCCCTCCCCCCTCCACGAGCGTCTCCTCTCTTCCCCTACACACATCCGTGCGCCCCGACAGCGCCGGGGCCGCAGCGCCCTCGGGTCCCAGGGGCCCCTGGCCTGGGAGGGTGGCCCGAGGCCGCCGCCCACCTTCCGGTGCTCGCGCTCCTTCTCGATGCGGTCCATCCTCTCCACGCGCAGGCGGTCCAGCTCCAGGCGCAGCTCGTCCAGCTCGGGCGCGACGTGGTGGCGGCTGACCAGCACCTCCAGGATCTCCAGGACGCGCACGACCTTGGGCATGAGGCGCGCGATGGCCTCGCAGCCGTGCTGGTCGATGACCCGCTCGAACTCGTGGCCCACGAGCGCCGCGATGTCGTACACGTCCATGACGGTCAGCTCCGCCACGTTCTTCTCCAGCGCCGACGCCGCCGCGGGCGCCGACCCCCGGTCCTCCTCCATGGCCCGCCGGGCCTCCGCGCCCCCGCCAACTAGTGCAACTCCCAAACTTGCGGCGGCCGGGCCGGCCGGGCCGGGCCCAGCTCGCGCCGCCGCCGCGCTCAGCGGCCCGTCCCGCGGGGCCCCGGGCGGCGGGCGCCGGCGCCGGCGAGGGGGGCCGGGAGCGCGAGGTCAGCGCGGGGCGCGGGTCTGGGCGCCCGACGCGGCCCGAGCCTGCTCCCCAGCGCGAGGCGGCGGCGAGGAGGGCGCGCGCGTGCGCAGGCCCGCGGCGCCTCCCAAGTTGGGAATCCGACCCGGGCGCAATGGAGGCGCGCGGTCCAGCCGGAGAGGGGCCGCGCCCCGCGGAGACGCCGCGGCCCGGAGGCGGCCCGCGCCGGGGCGGGGAGGGGCAGGCGGCCGCGCTCCTCGGGGAACTTCGGCGGCGGCGCGGCCGGGGGCCGGTCCCCCCGCGGGGTTGCCGCGCGCCCCGCCCCGATCCGGGTCTGGAGAGGGGCGCGCGCGCCGCTGCCGCCCGAGGGCGCCCTGGGGTCCTCCCCGGCGCCGCGGCCCCCGCCCCGACACCCGGGGCCTCCCCGCCCGCCCCCCGCCCGGCGCCCCCGCGCGTCCGGACGCACCGCCCCCCTCGGGCCGGCCCGGCTCCTCCTCGCCGCTCGCGCCCGGGAGGGGGCCCGGCCGCCGCGGGGGAGGGGCGGGGGCGGGGGCGGCGGCGGGCGCGCGGGTCCCTCCTGGCGATTCGCTGCGTCTCGGGGGACGCGGGCGGGCCCTGCGCGGGCGCGGAACGGAGGGGCCAAGAGGTGGCTTTGGGAGGGGCCGCCCTGGGGAGGAGGCGAGGCCCCCGGCCGCCGCCCCTCCCCGCCGCCCGGGCACCGGCGACCTGGCGGGCCTGGCGGACCTGGCGGGCCTGGCGGACCTGGCGGGCCTGGCGGCGCCGGGCCTGCGTCCAGTGGGGGCGCCCAGGGCAGGGCCGGGGCCGAGGGTCTCCGCCCGAAGCCGCCGGCCGCGTCCGCTCGCCGCTGCTTGTGACGGAAACGCCGCTTCACAGGGAGGAGAGGCCGGGTCGGCGCTCAGCGCCGCGTGCCGGTCCCAACCCGCCCGTGGGGCTGCCGGCTCTGCTCGTCCAGCAGAGCCTCCTCCCCCCAGAACCTTTCCTGAGCCCACTGTGCCCCCAACCCTCCCCCTACACACGCACACGCGCGCGCACACACACAGACACACACAGACACGCGCGGGTTCGGAGCCTCCTCTGCGCTCCCACAGCCGCCTGCCTGCGCCCATCAGACCCTGACGGCAGTAAAACCCTTAGCGCCCTTGCAGCCATGAAGCCCACCCAGCCCGGCACATACTGATTAAAACTTAAAAATTTCCTAAGTGTGGGCATTTGCTCCATATTTACTTGTGAAATATACACAGCCGTGCTTACCAGGCACCAGGCGTTGTTCTAAGCGCTCAACCACTATTTCCTCCTTCAACTTCACTCCACTGGTAATGGAAGGGTGGCCAGAGGACCACGGGGGGCCCCAGAACCCAAAGGGTGTCTGCCAGGGTGTCCCATTGGGCAGCTGTACTCAGTGGAGGCTCCATGTGCCTCCCGGACTGAACACAGCCGCACATCAGTGGGTGGAATCTGCAGAAGCAGATCCCAGGACCCGGCTCTCCCATCATGACCGGGACAGAGAGCTCTGCAAAAACATCAAACAATAGTCTCAATTTTTTTGGTTTTGGTTTGGTTTACAGAGTTATTTGGTATTTTTTTTAAAAAATTGTTAAAATTTAACATTATCATTTAAAAATGACTGTACTTAAAAGCCATCAGTTTAACCTTTTAGTGAGACCCATAGATAGAACTCACTAGCAAAATCTCTCTAGGGTCATCGATGGTTTTTAGGGGCGTTCTCTGAAAAGGGTCTCGAATATTAACATTGCAGAACTGCTGCCTTACAACATCCAAGTTTCCTCCATGATCTCTATTTTATAAATGAGGAAACTGAGGCACAGACACATCAAAGAATTCATCACAGGCTAGGCAGCTGGTCAGTGTAAAGCTGGGGGGGATGAGGGGGGCCTGTGCACCCCGTGAGCTGGCTATTTGATTGATGATCCAGAGCCTAAATCAAGGACAGCAAGGGATAGGGAGCCTCTGTAGCCACTGTACCAAATCACCCCAAACCAGGTGACTTAAAACAGCAGTTACTTTTCAATGCGTCTTGGGGGGATGCATTGAAGTCAGAGTGTCCACAGAGCCACGCTGTCTCTGTGGGGCTAGGGGAGGCCCCTCCTTGCCTTTTCCAGCTTCCTTAGCTTCTGGCGGGTCCCGCCCAACTCTGCCTGTCTACACATAGCCTTCTCTCTGTCTCTTATTTTTTTTTTTTTAATTTTCTAGAGGCATGTCTTATTTATCTATTTGTTTGTTTGTTTGTTTGGTTTATACATGCACTGGGTACAGTCAGAAGCCGGGAGGGCGAGAGAATTCACCAGAGCCAGAGCGGGGAGCAGAGCAGGCAGAAGGACTGTCTGCGCGCCATGTGGGACCCTCCTCCGGTGGCCGGGGAGCAGCCGGGGATCGAACCGGCGCCTCAGAGGCTGCGGGCAGCTTCGCAACCCAGCGCTCAACCGCTGCGCCACCTGGGAGGCCCTCTCTGTCTCTTATTAACAACACTGGTCGTCAGGTTCAGGGTCCTTCTGCACCGCCCAGGGTGATCTCCCAAGATCCATAACCACATCTGCAAAGACCCTTTGTTCAAATAAGGCCCCATCCACAGGTTCCAATGATTAGGACAATGGGCATGTCTTTTGGGGCAGGGGGAGGTGGCACCATTCAACACACTATAGTAGGTAAAGGTCCGGCGGCTGGAGGGTGAATCAAGGATGCCCAGATTGGGGAACCTCGCCTTCAAAGCACAGAGAGGTACTGGCAGTCCACTGGGAGGGCACAAAGATTGAGAAACCACAGTGGCAGCTGCAACCACACTGCTGGCTGCAGCCTGAGCCTCGAAGGCTGGCAGGAAAGGGATGGCAGGATGGGGGATGGAAATGACTTTAGAGAGGGAGAGGGGAGACAGGAGTCTGAGGTGTCTTCCAAATGGCAAGCCTGCGTGCTCAACAGGAAAGGAAAGAAAGAGAGGCCCGCATAGACATAGGCGGGATGATCTTTTTTGTTTTGGTATGGCTTTCACATTTTTTTTCTTAAGGTTACAATCTCATGGATAGTAGGCAAAGCCAGTTAAGTCTGTGGCTGATGGCCTCCCTGGTGGCGCAGGCAACTGAGTACAGCACTGTGAAGCTGTCTGCAGCCTCTGCAGCACGGGTTCGATCCCGGCCAGGGAGCGGACCCACATGGCGTGGCAGACCTCTCCTGTTCTGTTCCCTGCTCTGTCTAGTGAATCCTCTCACACTCCCGCACATCTGGCCTGTACCCTGGTTCTTGTATGCATGGATAAATAAATCTTTAAAAATAAATAAATTAGGGGGCCTCCCCGGTGGCGCAGCGGTAGAGCGCTGGGTTGCGAAGCTGCCCGCGGCCTCTGCAGCGCCGGTTCAATCCCCGGCTGCTCCCCGGCCACCGGAGGAGGGTCCCACATGGTGCGCAGACCTCTCCTGCCGCCCGCTGCTCCCCTCAGCAGTGTACTTCGGTCCTTCTGCCTGCTCTGCTCCCCGCTCTGGCTCTGGTGAATTCTCTCACCCTCCCACGCTTCTGACTGTACCCCGTGCATGTATAAACAAAACAAACAAGCAAACAAATAAATAAAGAAAAAAACATGCCTCTATAAAAAAAAAAAAAAAAAAAAAAAAAAAAAAAAAAAATAAATCTTTAAAAATAAATAAATTAGGGGGCCTCCCCGGTGGCGCAGCGGTTGAGCGCTGGGTTGCGAAGCTGCCCGCGGCCTCTGCGGCGCCGGTTCGATCCCCGGCTGCTCCCCTACCACCACCGGAGGAGGGTCCCACATGGCGTGCAGACCTCTCCTGCCGCCCGCTGCTCCCCTCAGCAGTGTACCTCGGTCCCTCTGCCTGCTCTGCTCCCCGCTCTGGCTCTGGTGAATTCTCTCACCCTCCCGCGCTTCTGACTGTACCCAGTGCATGTATAAACAAAACAAACAAACAAACAAATAAATAAATAAAAAACATGCCTCTATTTTAAATAAATAAATAAATAAATAAATTAGGGCCTCCCCGGTGGCACAAGGGGTTAAGCACCGCACTATGAAGCAATCTGCAGCCTCTGCAGCACGAGTTTGATCCCCGGCCTGCCAGAGAAAAACCCACATGGCGCAGCAGACCTCTCCTGTCTCGCCTGCTGCTCCCCTCAGCAGTGTATTTCAGTCGGTCCGCCTGTTCTGTTCCCCACTCTGTCTCTGGTAAATCCTCTCACCCCCCGCACCTCTGGAGTGGACCCCAGCTCCTGTATGCATAAATAAATCTTTTAAAAAAATTTATAAATAAATAAATAAATAAAAGTCTGTGGCTGAACTTCAAAGCCTCTCTGCATTATCTTTTTGGTCCAGTCACTGAGCAGTTGTGTGACCCTGCGAGTCACATGACCTCTTGGTGCCTCAGCGTCTCCCTTTGCAAAATGGGATCACAGAGGGCAAGGGTGATTATTAAACAAATGACCATATGTGCAGGCCACACAAGATACAGCATGTTGCAGATGAGTTAACGTTTATTATTACTATTATTATTATTATTATTACAGAAGCCTGGAGGGGAAAGCTGGGCGTGGATGTACACATGCAGTTGGCAGCCGGGGACGTGGACCAGGAACGCAGGACCAGAGCAGGCGAGACAGGACTGAGACTGACCCTCACTCATTCAGTAAATGTTTCACTCTCAATATGTGCCAGGGACGATGCTAACCCTGCGGGAGGTGGAACTTACAAGTCAGGGTTGTTGCTCTCATGGGAAACAGACAGTAAACGAGAAAAAACAAAAATAAAACTTCCAAAAACAACAACAAAAAAAACAAATTCAGGTAGTGCAGGAGGGGATTGAGAGAGGGGAATCAAGAAATTAGTGTCACAGAAGCCAGGTGTGT